GAATCATAATAGATGAAGGATAAATGGCCGACAGATGAAAGTAAGTTGTAGAATTAATCAAGTCATAAATTAAGTGGAAGGGTCCATTTCACCTCACTGAAGGTGTCAATACAGCAGCTATTACAGCAGCATGCAGGATCGAACTCTCTTTATTGACTGATTGATTTTACATCTTAAGGCTGGGAGCAGGTGATATAACTGTAGGTGATCTTTAATGGCTATCCAGCCTGGTTAAGCCTGCAAATATGTAATATTCAGCAGTTGATAGAAGCCTTTAAACTAACCCTTGTCCTACACCAAATGTTTAAGAGCCATTATTTTAAACTGATAGCAGCTGTGCACACACTGCAATGCAACACACTGCAATTCCACCAGGTCGAGCAGTCAGAGTTCAACTAAATAAACTTTTGACCCCAAATATCCTGACCTCCACCACACCTGCCCAATGATATTTGGAAGTTATGACAATTTCACTATAGGTAAGATTTGAAGAGAGAGCTCCTGAAATCATGTTACTCTACTTTCCTATCCTACTAGGTAGGACTGGGTTGAAATCCCAAACATAACCGGAAATATCTGAGAGAATATGGAAATACCAGGTTAGAAAATTAATATTGTGATTGTTTACATTCTGTAATAGTCAGCTGTATCTTCGCCACTGTGTGGGATGTGTAATGAAAGGCACTCCACCCTACACTCTACCTCATGTGCTCTTACGGGTTTGGTATGAAAGACACTCATGGAGCTTACAGCATTAGATAGGTGACAGAATGTGTCTTTGGATGCCATTAAACTTTGTTTTTATAGGGAGCATGTCTGTGGAAAAACACACAAAACGAGGCTGATCTAGATAAGGTACATTTCAGAACTACAAAATTACCAAACACCCCCTGTAGAAACTAGTACCATTTTGACAGGGCTGAATCTTTTGGTAGATACATGTAGCCTACTGCAGCTTCAAGACAATGACAACATGCTTTCCTTCTTTGTGGGTCATTGCACTCACATGGAGCAAGCACTCAATCAATTTGAGATATTGAGGCAGAGCAACTGAGCGGGCGGCTAAATTACAGTCCTGCAGGTTGAGTGCATCACATGCACCCAGACTCTACTCTATTCCAGCCCATTTAACTGACAGAGTCAGGAAATGGCACTCAACACATGTGCATTTCTCACCAAAATATTACCACATTGTCCAAATAAAGACTGCTCCCCAATGACAAAAAACTTAAAAAATTAAAAGGGAATGGGGCAATTAGAATGCAAAAAGAAGACTATTAAAGATACGCAAACAGGAAAATGGGCTCAAACTGCAATTAGCCAAAATAAATCCTTTTCCCTTTTGTCTTCTTGCCATAGAAGTAATTTCTCTTTGCTTATGAATAGAGTACATATTATGTGTGGACAAAAACAAGCAGACAGGTTTAAAGCATCCATTATAGTACACTTTCCTTTTTACTGTGAGAACTACTGCTGCAATTTGGATAAAATTAAAATCAGGTTTTGCTCTTTTAACTGCTGTCTGGACACATGGAATCAATAAAATGGCAAATGTGTTGTTCAGATTGGAAGCAGTGACAAAAATAAGAGTAAGAAATCAAACAATTAAGACTTTCAGAAGGCTTTGAAACCACCCCCAGGCTGAAACAAAAACAGTACTCTCCTCCAGGTAGACTGAGTAACGCTCCTCTGCTTGGAGATGATAAACCCCCTCATCTCTACTAATTTCTGTCCTATTTAACGGACATAGCCCTGCTGTGGAACTTTGCCACAGTGTCACATTAGAGCCCAGCCCCCCGGCGCTTTCTCAGCAAAAAACATGTGGCACTGCTAAAAATACCTGGTTCTGAATCATTCATGTCATACACTATTTAGAGAGCTCATACATACTCATGACCCTATGCAAATATGTATCATCAGACTTTGACTAGAAGGGAATTCAATTAATGGAATAACAGGGGCTGCAGCCTGAGCAGCTTCACTACGGTACACTAACAAACACGAATGAAGCAGCAGCATGCAGGGAAAATTAACTTTGATCAAAGTCTCTGTTATACTTTTAATCTTCTCACAAAACATGGTTTTAGGTTCGCGGCTGTTTTCCCTGATGCGTAATTAAGGCTTTACTGTAAGATGGCTTGAGTTGTTATATCACAAGCCTTCCACTCACTGAGTGAGTTGGCTCAAAGTTTGAGAGACCATCACTTTTCACTGCATGAAAAGTGGGATTTTTGTCAGTTAGCAGCACTGTGAATTGCTGTGGAAGGTCAGGAGTTTATAGGCAGCAGAGAAAACTGCCAGGAACTGCAAGGAATTGACATGGGGGAATCTTGGCAGTTGAGCCCCAGGTCTAGGGGAGGCTTTTATGTATAAATGAAAATGCTGTGAGCTATACACATGCAAATCAGGAGAGTAGCGGGAATTGCACTGGTGCAGAGGTTACACCTTTATTAAAAAGGTACAAACTCCATTTTAGTAATTATCATTTTAGTAATAATCCCCACAACAGCACACCACATGCATCTACTTATAAAAAACGTATAGTGTGAACATGAGACATGTGCTGACCTGTGTGCAACTTACTGGCAAAAATAGGAGCTATGAAATGGCATGTGGACAACATTAGGACAAAGAAAATATCATGAACCATAAGATACCCATGTGTTAAGAAATATATGTCCATAGTTAGGTGCTGTTAAATTTGTCCAGTTTCTAAAAGGATCTGTTTGTAGGATTTAGTGGCATCTAGTGGTGAAGGGACAGACTGCAACCAACTGGATACTGAAACTCGCAAAAATGCAAAAGGCCCTATTCTAGAGCCAGTGTTTGGCTCCCTCTGTGGATAAATGGCTCATTCTAAGGTAACAAAAACACAAATTCTCATTTTCAGATGCCTGTACATTAATGAAAACATAGCTATGAATATTATATTCAATTTCTGCCAATAGATCCTTCTAAATGTTACACGCTGGACCATTAACTCAAAATATTACACTTTTAATTCCACTGAAGAGAAGAATCAGACTACTATTTGTACTAAGAGAAAAGCCATTGCGGTTAATACAATTAATGTAACTAACAGGAGACAAGTTCCATGCCTGTATGTCAAAACAAAATACTACTTTGGCATCACAGGAAATATTATAGTTCAGTACAGATGTCACTGTAACTTAACATTCTGTGCATGTCACATCACTGTACAGTACAGAAATGTCAAAGATAGTACCAAGAAAGGCACATAATGTTCTAGTACAAGCACACAAAACACACAAACTATTCTCTAATGTACTTTGTCATCACAAAAGAAGATGCATATATAAAACACAAACACACACACACACACAGCCGAAGTACAGTAAAGCTGTGACACTATACTCCCACAGAGATCTCCTCCTCTCATTTGCTGTAAAGCTAGCTCATTAAAGAAATATACCCAACCTACATTCTATAATGCGATTTAAAACTATAATGATATAACAAGTGTTCTTTGATAAGTGGCTCATTACGGTGGCCTATATGAATACCCTATGTGCACATAGCTCAGAATTCACAAAATTTGTGGACATAAAATGTAGGAGTAAAATCATGATTTTAAACCATTACCACCCCAAAAAATAGGGATTTTTTTGATTATTTATGGTAAATGCACTTACATAGTGCTTTTATACATTAATGAACAAAGTGCTTAACAGTTCACTCTACCCCTGGAACCACAGCCACCCAACATTATGTGGGTGTTTGTCTTGATGAAATATACTGGAGTTTGGAGTTTAAGTTTCAGTGCCTCAGCAGAGAGAGGAGTAGAATACAGTGGCTTGGAAAAATAACCAAATAAATCATTCTAATTAAGAATATTTTTTGACACCCCCATTCAGAATTTCTCCACCAGGGTGCTCAGCATTAGACGAGAGACGGTCGTCTCGTTTGTGTCTCAACTTTTTTGCCATTAAAACACTTTGGAGATTATTACCAGAAATGTTTGACTTTTTATATGCTGCTTAATTGGGACAGAATCTTGTCAGAGTAACACAGAGTTCACTGGAGATCATGTTTTGTTTCTAATTTGGAAGTGGACATTGGTGTAATCTCACCGCCCACAAAGACAATTCGGACCAGAAGAGTGCCTAAAAGCCACACAAGGATTTGACAGTTTGACTTCTTACTATCATTGTTTAAGAAAACAGAGCATGAAGCTCAAAGAGTCCATAAATAGCTGCTATACAACCATATGAAAAATGACTCAATGACAAAGTATGGAAATACATATCCAAGAATCCTGGAAACACAAAAGAATAAAACATATTACATGTTTGATCATTGTGGCATCTGTATCTTCCAAAATAATCCAGATTTGGTATTGTAACCTTACTTGTAGAAACTTAACAGTTACTTAACTTGAAAATAAAGGCAAGATGAGGAACAAAATTCAGATTAAAGGCTGTATTTTGATCACATAATGATGATGTCATGGCATGTAAAATAGTTTTGTCTTTCATTTCTCCAATAAATGTTTCCATGTAATCCTACAAGTAACCACCTATATAAAAGTATTGTTATAGTGTTTTAAACTTTTTTTTAAGGCTTACACACAAATGATCAATAAATTGTGGTATGATTAAAAATAAAATGATACTCCTGTAAAACTTTGAATGTACATTATGCACCTTTAACATATTTCCTATTACCACATTTGTTATCAGATTGCAGTAATCCATCTATATTTCATCTGTTCCTTCCCAAACAGGCTGAAAATAAATTAAATCCAGCCACTGGATAACTTTGAGACTGAAACTATAAAATAAAAAAAACACAATTTAACATTCTTAACCTACTAGGCTTGAAACTAAAAGAGACCACAGCATCAACAGTCTCACACACAGCTCTCAATGCACAGGCCCTCCACCATAAACGCTATTCACCAACACATAAACCAAAACTCCTAACAAATCTACCACAAGCTGCAGTCGCCCTCAGTTAGGTTTTAAGGAGACGGTTCCTACCGCTTTGCTGCTGGGCGCGGTGTGTGCCATCCATTGCTCCATAGGATCCCACTGTGGAGTTGGATGTGACAGGCTGCTTGAGTGGAGAGGCAGCGTGTGTGTGTATGCCTGAGTGTGAGAGAGCGTCAGGGTGTTGTAAGTGACTTAGTCAAACTGTGTGTGTATGTGTGGATGCTTATAGTACATGTTCACATCTCTGTAGGAATGCCATGTATGGGGCTGGGTGTGTGTCAGGAATATAGTATGAGGGCTGTGATGGGTAAATGTGTGGAGTGTAGTACGTAGCTAATCAAGTGTCCCCTATAGGACATGGCCATAGTTAGAAAAGCTATGAGTGTCACTAAACTGTTAATGTGTGTGTCCAAGTGTGCAGTGAGGCATGGTTCCAGTTTATATCTGCACTGTTCAGTGGTCTGCTCAGCCCTTCATGCCTCTCTAAACACTGAGGAAGACCTTTCTCTTTCTTGCCTTTTCCTCTTAGTCACACCTCCCCACCCATCCTTCTATCCAGCCTCTCTCATTAGAATGGGTAATGTGTCAATCACAGGTCAACTGCACTCAAGTCTACGTAAAAGCTCACATACAGGCAAGGCTGTAAGAAAAAAAGCTTTCATTGATTGTTGAAATGAATAATGAGCAGATACTGCTAATGCTAACTAAGAATAGACAATTGCATTTAAAAGGCAGCTGGTACATTTACATTCCAGCCATTTAGTTACTTTAAACAAAGCAACAGAAGTCAGCATTAATAAGCCAGTGTGAGTGCAAGCAGCGTGGTCATGAGGAAGCAAAATCAACATGTTCAGAGCAGAAAAGGGGGGACAGTGCCAGAAGCCGTTCCAAATGAGAGAGAAAATCTGCATGTGTTCTTGTTCAGGGTGTCAGATGTTTTATAGAACACTTAAATTATTCAGCCTTGTTTGCCTTTCAACATCTTCTTCTCTGCTCCACTGAGGGATCGCAGAGGCCTGTCATCACACCACCTGAGATGGTGCTGCCATCTACAGGCTTGAGCTGGTAATACAGATGCAATAACATAGTATCCACTGAGCAGTTGTTGTTCAATTACCACACAGCTCAGTTGTAGATTTAACTGATTATTTCTCTCTCACTGTAGTTGCAAAAGCAACCATCGCTGAAATCAGCAGACTTTTGGACTCCACAGGAAGGTTAGGGGACAGATGGAGGCAGTTCATTAGAGGAATTATGGGTGTTTATGACATTTACACTTCTTTTTCCTTCCCCATTAGCCCCTGATGCGATGTGTTAAAATCCCCAAATTATGTTACAGACAGTTTTAATGTTTAATGGATGTCAGTTATATGCAGCTCATTATGTGTTTTTCCATTCTTCCCTTAAACTGTCTATAAATAGCAGTTCACAGCATTTGGAGACACAGCTGGTGCTGGGTCCTCCATCTGCACAAAACAAAACTACAGTATGTAGGTTAATGCACATGCATGCATATACACACACATATACACACATACATCCACTGAGGCTTTGACCTTGCCAGCTGCACCTCACACACTGCGTAGCATGATTGCATTAGGTTTATATTGTGTTGCATCATCAACTTTGGATTATTCTGTGTTGATGTTCCCATTCTTACTCGGGAGAGAAAACAGAGCATGATGCCTCACTCACACAATATGAAAGAACAGATCATTCATGTTCATCCTTAGTAACTCCGTGTAGACTGCAGTCCTAGCAGAGAGCTTAACTTAATCTTTTCTGCTCTTTGTTCCTCTAACTCCCAACATGGGCTTCAAAATGTGAGACACACCAGAATGACAACTTGGGGTCAAAGGACTTCACTGGCCTCATGTTGAAGTTTGAAAAACAACAAAATAATTTCACTGCACCCCAGACTGTCTACCAAGAGATAAACTAGACACAGAATGTTCTTGCAAAAAAGATGAATGCGTACTAGGTATTGTTTGGTTTAATGCAAACCATCTGACAGGTACTGAAACATTTATTAAATGGGGAAACTAACAGAATAGGGTTTCATATCGCCGCAGTATTTTTTCAAACACTAGGATGAAATATGATGTTTTAAAGGAGGGACCCTTCTGCTGTATTTCCAAATATAACTCAGACAAATCAAGAGTAATTGAAAGGCCAGAGGCACTCAAATATCAAAAACTCAATCTCAACATCCTTTCTGACAAAGAGACATTTAAGAATACCATCATAAAATAAAAATAAAAACATAAAATCTATGAAGGGCTGTTAAAAAGCTGTTGCCATTTTACTGATATGAGATGTCCTCTTTGTCAGACGGCTGTAAGTTGTCAAGTTTATGGCACATTTCTCGCCATAAATGTTTCCCCTGCTGTAAATAAGTCATATGAATCCTACAGGAGATATGGGCTTTAATAATAAACAGATTCCTCTACAGGAAGCTCATGTATGAGATGTCAAATTGGCAATCGTACATATCTGTTGAATACTCAGGTATGCGCGCACTAGAGGAAAGGTAAAGAAGTCACTCCAAAAGAGAGAAAAAACAAGAATGGTATAAGTGTGTCCTTCACCTCAAACTCACAGAAATGTGATAAACTCACCGATATGTGATTATATCTGCTTATAAGGTAAAGAAACTTTAATTTTCTCTACTGAAACAAGGCAGAATAACAGTGACGGAACCTAATCAACCTGCTTCCCAGAAATAAGCCCAACGCTCAGTTTTTGTGCAAGTAGGGAAGAGAACTTTTCACTATAAAGCACCTAGTCTGTGTAACCATTGTCCTCAATAAAGCTCTACTCTGACAACATCCAAAAAAGGGTTTTATCATCTGAGATTCCTTCTTCACTTAATGTGGTTGCTTCATGTTACAATACAGTCAAAGCAGACTTTCCCTCTCTGCAGAAGTCCCATATGGTCACTCTTCTGTCTCTCAACTGAATTACTTTGACAAATACTTTTTGAGCAGATGTGGTTAAAAAACACAGGTGGTGGCCAGACTCAAATCATTTTTCAACATGAAAATTCTATCCAGAGAATACTCATCTGTCTTAATGTATGTAAAATGTACAGAATCATGTTGATGTTGATCATATTTGTCAGTTCAAGACATCCAGTGCTCCAATATATTTTACTTTACTGTATATTCTAATTCATACAACCCGAATGCAACCAGCTATAGGAAGTGTTCCTATAACCAGGTGTTGACAGAACAGAAAGTAAGTAAGACAGAACATCTGCAGTGAGAGGTGGAGGCTTTTTTAGGAGCAATTAGTGTGAGGGAGGTGATGTGTTTGCAGCCTGTGAGAGAAGAAGGGAAGTGACTCTGTGGTTCTGACTGTGGAGGGAAATGGGAGTTGGAGAACGCAGGCCTCTAAAACACTGAGGCAATAAAAGCGCTGCTTCACAACATGTCCCATACGTCCTTTTCTCTAATAAAGCCTCACTTAATTATCAGTAATTGGAATGCCGTCATGCCACCCTCCATCATCATGTCATCAGAGCTCAATCAATCTCACTTTCACTTGAGACAGTGCACCAAGCATCGTCTCCCCAGGAAGACTTGTCAGATTACAGCAAGTGGAAGTAGCTGGCAGGAGCTAAGTGAATTATGTTAACTCAGTTACATATCTGTCCAAGAGCACATACACACAAGGATAATCTTTGCATGTCCAGCAGTGAACTACCTAGTTCAGTATGGGCTAAACTGCAGCAAAGAATAGAAAAAGCACTAATGCAAAAAAGTATCAGCAGCTCAGACAGGGTCAGAGCAAAACCTTCAGACAACCCGACACAAGCACAGCCTCTCTCCCCGCGCTGTACACAACACACTCTATACGTGAACCTACCTGTGTGACTTTCTCTGTGACGTTGTGGGTCCGGTCGATGAGTTTGCAGGGTGCTATGATGTCCATCTCCCCGGTGGGCAGGGCGATGAGTGGGTCAGGTTTGAAATCCACAAAGTTGAGGGTTATCTGAGGGATTTTGGAAATTGTTCGGTATCGCATGAGGTCAGAGTCCGACGTAGAGTTCAATATGTTGGACTTGCTGTTTACCGCGCCTGCAAACACACACACACACAGCAAAGAGTAAGGTACAAATCAAAGGGGATAGAAGAAAGGTTTTTCCTCTCAGTCCTTACCAGTGCTGCTGCTGCCCGGCCGGATACTCGCTCTCCGGTTCTTTCGTTCCCAGTCGGACCTCATGGCCTCGATCTCATCTACGGAGGAGGCACGACGCATGCTGTGGAAGCTCTCCCGCGAGCGGCTGTGCGACATGGAGCAGTTGGAGCCTGAGCCCTCTGGGTTGAGGCTGAGGCGGTGGTGAGGTGCTACGCAGGGTGATGACTGGGCGAGGGGACCCACCAGGTGGGTTCTGTGCGGAGGAGGAGGTGGAGGTGGTACAGGAGGATCAGTGCTCAGTAAGGTGCGCTGGTCCTCCTGGCGGTCTTCCGGCCAACTCCTTAGAGCTAACCTAGGAAACAGAAAAGGACAAAATGGGTAAAAAGAGGATGTTACAGATTCTGTCTGTCACTGAACCAGATAGTTCAGGTTGAAGTCATGTGATGGATGAAAGTCCAAACTAAAAAACCTTGAGCAAAAAAGAATGCCACTGTTTTTAGGCATCAGTGACCTTTGACATCACTGTGGGAGGAAAAGGAAAGAGGGAAGTTCATGGGAGGAAGCATTATAAGATTAGTTCGCTACAAGGAGCTTTACATGGGAAAAATAAAAGGAGACACAATAAAGTGAGAACAATCCACACATTAGGTGATCACACTAAAATGAAGGCATTGTCAGAGTTGTGTTGTATCCTCATTTCACAATATTAAAAAAAAGTCAAATTTAGAAGTTGTTGAGAAAGTTCATGAGTCTGGTTCAAGTGTCAAAAGTAATCCTCAGGGCCTACCTGCTTCCAGTGATTTGTTCCTGGTGGTCTGGTGGTAAAGGGGGAAGGGGCAGAAACTCCCCCAGGCCTAGGGACTCGTGACTTTGGTGGTCTGGATGCAACGGCAGCGGTGTAGCAGTGGGGATGTGACCGGCCTCTGTGTCGTCCAGAGACGCTTTACTGTTGGACAGGGAGCGCAGCAGAGGAAGACGCAGCTTGAAGCCTCGTGGTCGACCTGGAGAAGAGGAGGAGGAGAGAGGAGAAGACTCATTGCCTGCAGACTGAAAGGTGGATTTCCAATATGAAACTCTGGCAGGAAGGAGAAATCAGAGTAGGGAACTGAAAGGATTTTGTAGATCAAATAGAGAAACAAGTAGAGATAAGATATAGGAGTATATTCTGGTTGGTGGGGGTCATGCTAGGAGAGAGGGAGATTTGAACTACAATCATGCCTGTCCAAACATACAAGCTTCACAAACAATTTACAACAGGAATCTGGGACAGTGACAATGATTAGATTTTGGTTTTAGCCACAAAGTTAAAAACAAGAAATCTGGTTAAGAGACAGACTGGATTGCAAATATCATCAGTGTCCTACTTCAAATGCTGTCCCCAGGGTTATCCCTGGTGTTCATGGAAATACAAGTACTCAGGTTTTCACAGGCATAAAATTACTTAGGAAATATCACGACCACGTGGCCTTTCTGCAAAATGAAATGAACAAATGATCCAGGTAAATTAAAGTGATGGTTGCCACTTCTCACTGACTGAACATAATAAGTCCACCTCAGTTAAAGGGTTTTTAAGCACAGAACCAGTCAAAATATTGATTTTCCAAAATAGTGTGTCAATCAACAGGGTATTTTAATTCCTTTTATTGTGTTGTGTACTCAACTGACATATTTACGTAATGTTTGTTCTAATGATTTTCTGAGCTTTCTATTTAAAAAATGTGTTCAAATATATTCAACAGTTTAATAGTGAGTGGGGGGACAACAGGTAAAAAGTGTCAACAAGCGTCACTTCTGCCTTTCCAAAGTTGCTCAAACCTGACCTGATTAGCTTAGAACAGAAAACAACAAACAAAAACAACAACAAAATAAGGTTAGTCGGACGCTACCGGTGACAAGCCAGGTGGGCAGGCGGTGGTTGAGCTCCTCTTTGTGGTCTTGGAATGTATCTTCTGTCATGACCTCGAAGTTGAGGATAAACATGATCACCACGCCATCCTCGTTCTTCACTGGCACCACATCCACCATACACAGGAGGCAGTGACCTGCGTGGGAAGAGACATAGATAAAGCTCAGACGGATTGTATTTGGTGGAGACTTTTATCTGGGAGCTCTTACGGCGCCAAAAGTGCATATGGTTTTAGTATTGGGATTAAAACCTCTAACCCTGCAGAAGTTATTTGAGGAAACAGCATAAGCTTGAACAGCGGCAACATTGCTTCTTTACACACAAGCTTAACCATTGTAATGACTGTGACATTTTTCATATTAAATTTGTGTGAGGGAACACTGGCAGGTGCTTTATGAGCAGTCACAGATGCATATGACACTGAATGTGAGCATATATTCACTAATTACACCCACTTTTCCATTCTCTCTCATTAAAAGTACATCTGCGCTTAATCAGCTCACACACTCTCTTGCATACGAGGCCAGGCACGTTCGCTAATCTGCCACGAGTGCTAAAACAGCTAAGTAAGCATAAAATTAGACAACATATGACAGTATGTTGGTGGGACATTTCTGCCAGGTCTATAGGCATGGATACACTGTACATACCAGCTCAAATGGAAGTCAAAATAAGCTGCTATTCTGGTTTCGACACAAGGAACTTGAACCTTCAAAGCATCAAAATAGCACACACACACACACACACACACACACACACACACACACACACACACACACACACACACACACACACACACACACACACACACACACACACACTGAGCTGAAAAGGGCACTGTCATCTTAATTTGAAACACTGAAAAATCAAACAGGAATAGATGAAGGCAAAATCAATACAACTGCCAAGAACACAACATTATTGGGGCCCTCGCCCTGCACACTGAAAATAAGTCAACAACTACAGAATATCCAGACATTTCCAAAAGCAGGTGTAGAATAATTAACTATGCCAAAAACTGCAGGTAGACGTAAGCTAAAACACAGATATAACACTATAACATCAGTTATAACACAGAGAAAAGTCAACATGCAAGTCATATTGATGATAAACTAAAAGGGATTTTGCCCCCTTTGGAAAGTTGCATTCCTTTAGGCATGCTTAAATAGAGCTCCATCTCTGTGACACAAAAATGAACAGACAGCAATTAAATGACTGTAATTTTACTCTCAAATCTCAGCAATGTATTCAAAATGATGTCTGAAGTACCCAGCAGCCATATTGTCATGTTACACATCATTTAAATCCAATTTAATCTGTCCTTCTAGACCATACAACTCCTTGTCCCCCTTGGTCTGATAAATAACCTAATAAAAACCAAGCTACAATGAAATGCATCCAGTTTGCAATGTCAGAATAAAGGCTCACACTGTGCATCAGCTTTATACGAATTGAAGAAAGCTATTTAGTTTGTCACTGTAATCCTCTTGCTAATATTTGTTTTACCCTAAGCATGGATGCCTTGGACACTGCATAAAGTGACCTTTTTGATGTCAAATAGTTCCCCCAAATTTTCCAGCATACCTGGATCTGGCCTATCCCGTCTCTTACCTGTACAGCGATGGTCAGTGACCGGCAGCCACAGCGTTTTTTGGCAGCGTGGACTGTTTGGAGCTGACACAGTATGTAGTGCAACCCAATGTACAGTGAGTCGACTGCATGCCTGCCTCACTAACTCACCCACCCGCCTGTCATTCATCTCACATCATCGCCAGAGAGTGGGCCGAAATCCGATTGGACAACAGCATAATCCCGACACACGGGGAAAAAAAATATGAAACACAGGGAAACTAAAGGATTACACCATCTGGCCATATCTAGCAGTGTGTGTGTGTATGCGTGTCTCTGTGCATGCATGCTTATGTGCACACGTGTACAGTAGGTAGATGCCCAGTCTCATGTTTCATTCATAAGCTATTGGGTCATGTCCATTCATGCCTGTTTTCATTAACAGCTGTGACCCTGCATTTACAGGCTTTTTAATCGCTGAAGGTGTTGCTGCATCACACCTAAAGCTGCTTTACACAGCGCTGCAGCAAGCCGCTGCAGGCAGGGGACACTTGCAGACACGCGACACAATTTTTTAAATGTTTTTTGGCAATGTTTGAATGACTAGATTTTGTTACTAAGAAGAGACTGAGAATGACAGAAGCTGAAAAATGTGGTATCCTGATCATCGCCAGTGTAAGCAGGAACATATTCAAACCAATAGCAGACATGTTTTGAGGAAAACATTTTTATCAACTTGTTCAGTGTTAACAATTTCAGTGAAAAACTTGAAATAATAGAACATATCTCATATTACTTTGTCAAACAGATTAAGTTGGATTAATGGATTTCCTCACTGATTCTAATTAATGTCACATGAACAGTAATCAGAGACAGTTTTCCAGCACTGGTCCTCCCTCTAGTGGGCTTTCATTTATTTCCCATGTTGCTAGGTGGATTATATTCTTGGAACTGCTGTACATGTATTTGTGGAAAACAATGCCTTAAAACCATTTTGATATTATTACAGGCTGTCAGTCCAAGACACTGAACCAGCAGCTCTTTATTTACTCAGCAGTCTCCTAAACCTAACTGTAAAAGCAGTACGCTATGTGTGTGTTTCTGTTAAGACACAGTGATGTGTGTTTTGCAGATGACAGATGTGACACACACAGCAATGTAGGATTAAATGTCAACACAAGAGGATTTAACTTCAGCTCTAATACATCATAAGACAAAGTATTTGTATTTATTTATTTATTATCAGTTCTCCGAGTCAATCTGGAACACTCGCTGTTTCATTTCTCTGTGTGTGTGTATACTCTAAAAACACATATGATGTATAATAATCATACATGCAGCAATACATGAGTGCACTGTGCTCTACTGTACTATAGAAACATTCTTTGTAACAGATGCACACATTAGTGGGTTTATCTGTGTGTGTGTCCTGAATTTGGCAGAGTAGTGAAAATCAAGGATTAGGCCTACATATTTTGGACACATCAGACCTATTTGTTGTTGACCATCGTACTGTCTCCGTCTACTGTAAAAGATTTCCTCCAAGAGCATCTGAAATGAATTGAGCTCTGAGGTTAACAGGGCAAATGCCATTTCATCTAACTGCTCCTCCTGGATGGAATCCAATTCAGAGTGTACCAGCTGATAATCTGATTCAGCGTTGCTGATTTACAAAGCTCTGGGAGATTATGACAATACGCTAAAACACATCCAAAAAAAGCACAGGGTGCAAACTGCTCATGGTGGCCAGGGATGGCCTAGTGATCATACATACAGTGTTTTCAACTAATAGGCCAGACTGACTACTGAACTAATGTAAAGGACAGTTCATTGGAGGAGGCTGGCCATTAATAGAAAACAAAAGGGTTGGCACTAAAATCTGCTGGGGATGCTAATGCTTTAGCATACAATAGCAATTGAGTAAGTGAAAAACTGAGACCTTGTAACAGGCTGGATTATTTACATTAAATTTAATTACATTTCTCTGGCATGTGGACTTTGTGTGCTACAGAGTGAACAATAAGCAAAAGTTAGACATACAGAAAGTTATTATTTCTAGTGATAAATGATAATACCACATTTTATTCTCTACCGTATATGGTCTGTCAGGAAGGATTACGCTGTTTTAGATGTATGGTATGACAAAGAGCTGCATTGGAACGAGTGTATGTGGATTTACTGAGGCTGAAGTGATACAACTGAAGTACAGAACTGAGGCAAGGATGGACAAATGAAAGAAAAAGGTCTGTGGGTTGAGAGGATGAAGAAAAATGAAGCGGGCAAAGAGAAATCTTGAAAAAAAAATGTAAAAAGTATAGGGTAGGTGGGATGACTCAAACTGGATGGGATGGGCAAAGAGGGGGAAATGGAAAAAGGTATGTTGGAAATAAGGAAAGAAGTTAAAAAGAAAGATGAAAACAGAGCAATGAAAGAGGGACAGTAGGAAAGATGAAAGGAAGAAACAAATGAAGAAAGGATTACTCATTATTGGTTTAGCAGTCCAGTCAGACTCAGTGTGAGGGAAACTGACTGTAAATGACATTGTTGCCTGGTGGGTTTAAAGGGGTAAGGAGGGAAGGATTCGCTGTTCAGGAACATCTTTCTTCCAGGCTAGCAGGAAAGGCGAAAGGAATGGATACCAGTAAACAAGGATTGGCCTGCTCCCCAGTAACTCGATGTCAGACCGAAATACAAGAACAGAACTGGAATAATATCAGGCTTTGTATAGGCTATATTGTCAATTAATGTTTGGGAGTGACGACTTAATTCTCAAAAGCTTACGTTGGACTTTGGGATGGTAGGGCTAGTTCTCTAAAATGGCCTAGCCACCCCATGCATAGGGCTCTATCTTAGTTATAGGATCTACCCTCGACCCACGAACGGGGTCTCGGTGAGGAGTTATCACCTCCCAGTTTGCAGGTCTGTTTGTTACTATGTTCAGATTACTTTGTTCTGCCTTTGTTCTTGTTTTACTGTATTATTTGGGGGACAACACAAAACCATCCACATTTTTCTGTGTTTGAATGATAATGTCACATCATTTGAAAATAGCTTCTCTTAATGTCAACGGCTTGACTAACCCGGTCAAGAGGAGTAGGGTGCTAGCGAAAATGAGGAAAGATAAGTCCCAAGTAATATTTTTACAAGAGACACACATGTCAAAGAAGGAACACGAGAAACTAAAAAAGTTTGGGTACTCCAATACATATTATAGTTCATGTAAAAATAGTAGAAAGAGAGGGGTTGTGATGATGATATCTAATTCATTAAACTTTGACTTGATTAAAGAAAAAAGAGATGATAAAGGTAGATATATAATAATCAAGGGCAGGATGGACAGTGTTCTGGTCACATTTGTGAATGTCTATGCTCCTCCGGAGAGTGACAGATCTTTTTTCAAAAGATTATTCGACCTGATTGTATCTGAGAGTGAGGGAATCCTTGTCTGTTCGGGAGATTGGCAGACAATTTTGAACCACCAATTAGACACAACAACCACGAGCAGACATGGATCCCCAAAATCAAAAAACCTAAATATTTTGATAAGAGAGGCAAGCTTATTTGATG